GAGTTCTTAACTCAACACGCCGTCTTTCTGATGAACTCAGCATTCGGAATAGGTAAATTAAACCTTTTTGAAGAATTTTGTCTTTGATAAGAATTGCTCTGAGTTCCTACACTCACCTCTACGAAAATCAATGGAGAGGGAAGACTGGCGCTCACTCGGGGTCAATTCACCGCTTTCACTTCCTTCTTTGCTAGTTCCTTCAAAGAATCTGGTAAATGTTTTTGAGTATTGTTGAAGAAGCACCAGATCATGCTCGAAAAACTCCGAAGAACTTCTGATCGGTTATCTTTTGCACCGTTCGCGGCCCGTACTAGAGTTCCTCGACATTTTTCAACTTCATCTGTAAATCCGAGAGAGCTAGCAGTTTCTGGAATTTATAGCTAGTATTCTGACGATCTCTTTGCATTCATTCAAAGGTAACGAAAGATGAAGATTATGCAGTTTGGATAACGTCATCGAACGCTGAGAGTGCGTTAAAAGGCGATCCTTACAACATCTCCAGCGTGCCGATAGCTCTAGTCCACGAATGACGTTTGATGACGTCTCCAAATCGCAGCGCCCTCCGGCCATCGTGATCACTCCCTTTTAGTTGATATTTTCGATACTGTAGCTGATTTCCTCTCTACGTGCAATTTATTATAGTTGGGGGGGGGTGAGAGTTCGCGGCCACATTTCCCGTTCTCCGCTCTCACTTTCTCTTCCGCTTTTTCTTCCGCATCCAGCTAGAACATGCCTTATTCTTTCCTACAGTTTGCACTTTTTTGGGCGGCTATGATCGTTATAGAAACTACGAGTATCAAAAAATTGTTGAGCTCTCAGTCCATCGCTACGCTAGCCACACATTTGTGTTGCAACTCGAGCAGGTCTTCACCAAAACTGAAAATCAAGTGTTTTCCACGAGGAATAAGTAGCGCTTAACGAATATCTTGAAAGCAAAATGTACGCATGACTTCCTCACACAAAGTTTGAAACGGAGCAAAATGTCACACGCACTTGATTCATTGCCACCCTGCATATTGCTCGGCAGCACTGAGTTCTGTACAGAATGAGGTTTATTTGCCACCCGACCTGATTCCTCCGATGGTATTCAAAGCTCAGAGGTCCCAAAGTGATATTTCTCAGTGATTATTATTATTCAGGTAAACACTTGCCACTTTCGCAAGTTGAACACACATTGAAAACGATTAGAGACACATGGATTTCATATGGATTTCATACACACCCCACTACCAGGGCGAATAACAGTCGAGGAGTCTTCGACGATTGCTTTGTACAGAGTGTCGAGAGTGAATGTACGCGCAGAGAGCACCTACGGCTCGCGCGTGGCAGAACAGCATGTGCGAATGGAAGAGCGTGCGAAAATCCTCAAAGAATTCTCGACCGATTTTCACTCTGCCTACTCCTGCTCTGTGCGCATCACTGTCGTTCTATCATTCCTCAAAGGGAGTGAAGTTTTTAAAAAAGGGAACTAGGAGTTTAAATCAACAGGACACAATTCATTGTAGCAATAACTCACTTCTAAAACTAGTCCGGAATGGGTATTCGTTATGTTACAATACAAACCGGCCAGCGAGGCGTTGCTTATATCTTCCGTTAGTGCATCCTAAATCAAACCGCATGCTAAGAATAAAAGCACGCCAATGACTCACCACTAAGCAGGATCTGTACATCAACGAGAGCATAGTGGATTTCGGAGACGAATTCACCACGGGAGTGATGATAGCAATCTGAAAAAACGTAGATAACACTTTGATGGCATTGATCAAAATCGTAATTTCACCTTGGTCACAGCTTTCGGGCGCTTGTACTCATCATCTTGATTGAACCAGATTCGACACCATGCAT